GATGGAGCTCAAAGGCACCTGAAGGGTCTGTCCCTGAGACATCTGCCCCCAACCCATATCTACAAAATATGACGGCTCTTTTGTCACACTCCAAGGGCGTTCTATGAGTAATCTAAGTGGATCACACTGTTTATCTTTTCAAGAAGGAGAGGAGTGTGCCCGAAACAGCTGTAATTTCAACTGTAGTCTGTTAAAAGACGGTCGATTATTCTGGATGGTGGAAATTGGAGTCTTACCAGTGCCTTGGGGTCTGGTCCAGCCCTAAGTATTGTCATAAAAGGGAAAAGTATATCCTTTATACCCAGTGTTTCACCCCACATCCATCTACTCTGGACAGATACCAGGCTCCCCTGTGGGTCCCCAGATGGGGTACATACAAAAGAAATATCCTCGGAGGTGGAGTTGGGACATAAGTTCTCCACAAGGAAGGATCTGGCATGCATCAAATTCAACAATTAAGGGAAAAGTACTCTGAGTTACGTTAATAATAAACATACCTTTTCCCAAATGAATGAGAATAATTTCACTACAGTCTTTTTAAGGTTACTCTGGTGTTGCCTGGATGTGAGAGCACTGTCCATTGTTCCTTCTGGTCAGGTGGGACACCTTCTTTACCCGTGTGTGATGAGTTCACTCCCTCTCCACAGTCTGGAAGGCTGTTTCCGTGGTCAGCAGGATGAGGGAGGGTTCTTCCCAAGCTGGCTCACGTTTATTTTCTTTCCTTGTCTGGCCTATATTTTCTACAACTCCAAACCTTGGGATGATGTGTTCTAGTAATGCCCTAATTACATTCATAGCAGTGGCCCCTGGGAGAGGGATGGCCTTGACCCAGTGAGAGAGATTGTCTACAATAACCAGGAGGTACTTAAGGTGACCTATTTGGGGCACTTACTGTAATCTACCTGAATGCTTTGGAAGGTTGCAACCCAGGGTTTCTGCCTCCAGCTGGTTTCTATCTCAGGGCTTGCTTGTTCATTTTCGACAAATGAGACACTTCTGATACTTGTTTGGCTAGTGTGTAGGTCCCTGTACATCCGTAGGCTCATAAAACTGCATCACACATGGCCTGGGGTCCCCCAATGGCTCCCCTGATGGAGCTACATAAGGAGTTCTCTCATGAGGGGCTTTGAGATCATTTCCCTCAATTACCCGGGAGGATCCATCCACAAAGAAAGTCTGGAAAGGAGTTTCCCTGAGGTCTGGCTTTACTTTCATTTGGTATTCAATAATATCTAAACATTTATGTTCGGGAGCTCCTCCCTCCTGCTTCCCCGCCAAGAAAGTGGCTGGATTTAGGGCTTCATCAGTAGTTAAAGTCAGGTCATCTTTTTCTAGCAAGATAGCCTCATACTTTAGGATCCTGGAATCTGTCAGCCCTTGACCCACCTTTTGGTTTAAGATCATTCTGACTTGAGTGGGAGTGCTAATAACAAGACTTCCTCCAAAGGCGATTTTTCTACTTTCTTCGGTTAGAAGGGCTGCAGCCATTATTGCCTGAATGCACTCAGGCCGACCTTGGGTGACAGGATCTAGGAATTTAATAAGAAGGCCACAGGTTGATGTTGACCCCCATGTTTTTGGGTTAGCATCCCAAGGGCAACTCCCTTGTTTATATTTACAAAGAGGCGAAAAGGCTGTTCAAGAGAGGGCAAGGCTAGCACTGGGGCTGTGATAAGGGCTTTTTTAGCTCATCTTCTTGTTTTATCTCCTCAGGGGTCCAAAGAAGGGGTGTGGTCGCTCTTGGGTCAATTTGAGATATAAAGACTTAGTTTTAAGGGCATATGAGTCTATCCATAACCAGCAGTATCCCACCAAGCCAAGGAACTTTCGTAATTCTTGTTTTTTTTCCTGGGAGCAGGAGACCAGTGATTCCTTCTATTCTTTCTGGACCAATCCTTCATTGGCCCTTACTTCAGTCTCAGCAAATTGTAACTTATTCTTTGAAATACAAAGTCCCCAGCCTCCCAGAAAATTTATAAAACTAATGGTTGTGTTCATCACCTGCCCCTGGTTATCCCCTGACAGAAGTGAATCATCCACACATTGGAGGAGGCACATGTGGGGGTCTAACCTGAACTTTTCTAACTGGAAGGGGGAGATGGGGAAGCAGGAGCCTGGGGGGGGGCAGGTGTGGCACAGGGGAAGCGCTGGTGCCTGAGCTGGAGGAACAGCAGGGTTATAAGGGGGGGAGGGAGGAGAATAAATCCCAGGTGGGGTTTCATTTTTTTTTTTTTTTTTTCTTTAAGTGGAAACAGGACTACTGGGCTCTGTCTCCAACAGAGGGCGAATTCCATCTCCTCTTGAGTGACTGGGCTCTTGTTGTTTACATGTTGAATTAATAGTTGGCAGACCCAGTCCTTGTCAGACCCAAAGCTTTGGCCAAAAACCCAAAGGCTTTAAGATCAGTTATTGGGTCCAGATAAAACAACAGTATTTGACCATTCTTTGTTTCTTTATCCCTTTAGTATGGGGGCTATCATCCCAATAACTTAACATCTTTCCTAGGGGGCTCTTGGAGGGTCTTTTATCCTGGACTTTTGTTTGTTGGCCTCCCTCTTTGCTGCCTTTATTTCCCATTTCCCCCTTCTAGTGGACTATCCTCTGTCTGTCAGGAGCTCAACACCCCCCTTTTGCTTTGGAGGTCTCTTGAACTCTGATTCTCTTTCATTTTGTCCATCTCCAGCCACATCCCTTATGGGAGCTTAAGGCATCTCTTGGAAGCCAGCAGGTCAGTATAAGCTCCTGATCTGGATTAGATTTAAGAATCTAATTCCTCCTTGAACAGTATGAGTTTGCCTTGGAACTGCAGATCAGGACTCCACGTTCCTTTGTGTCACCTGACCTGTCTCATTCACACATCACACAGCCTCCAATATCCCGCCCACTAAGACATTACTTGGTCACCCCCATGACATTTGTCTTGGTCTGTGCACAAAACTTATGTGGTCTCCATGGTCCCTGTCTTCAGAGTTCGTTTACCTGCATTGTCAAGAAATTTCGGAGTCCGGGTTCATTCACAGATCTGGAAAGTTGTCACCGTCAGCTGAACCTCAGGGCTGCCACAACCAGGCAGCGGGATGTGTCTCCTGGGGAAGGGCCAGAATGTAAAATCCCGGACAATCCCCAAATTGTTGGAATTAAAGACCATCCAGTGCTGAAAACAGACACACAAGAGACAGAGAGAATCTTGACACGGCAATTTCTTTTGATCGGAAGTGTGAAAGCCTGGGCTCACTCCAGCTGAGCGGACACACGAGCACAAAATAGCTGACAGTGGCTTCTCCTTATGTCCCTTACCTGGGATTTGTCCAGGTCAAAGGTTCACAGTCTTTCTCGATTGGCTAAAAGGCTTAGGGCACGTGATTTGGTGGGCAACTTTCACAGGCAATGGAGCTGTAGAAGAATCCAGAAGAAACAGGAACCCTTCAAACAACACAAGTCACCTAAGATGGCAGCTTGAGGAATTTTAAGTAATCTAAGAGGGTGACAATTCCCACCTCCCCTGGCTGCCCCCTCAGCCAGCCGCAGTGTCACTCATTAACGGGACTTGCCTTCCCTTTATAGGGAAATAAGAATGTCAGGCCTCAGTCAACACTGGGGAGAAGGTCTTCAAGGACCAGGGAAAACTGTTCTGACCTGGACAACAGAAAGAGCAGCCAGAACTCAAGTTAGAGACAGTCAGGTGTTAGTGGAGATTCCTCTGTGAATTTGCTGGAGATCTCGAAAAAGTGGGCCCAGCTCTTGCCCTTGGTTTTTTCATCCATAAAGGGCAGGGGTGGTTAACCCACATCAGGGATTATTCATTCAACAAACAACCTGTAGACACTGTTTCAAGAGTGGGAATACAGCCTAACCCCAGTTTACATTCTGGTTGAAAGACAGATGGACAGACACAGACGTGGTGCTGTCCACATCAACTGGGGTGGAAAAGCTAAGAAAGAAAATTAAAACAACTTGCTATCTGCCATCACCACATTTCCCATAAGAAAGGACTTTTTAATGTTTGAAAAGTAGAATGAGATAATCTTAAAACAAACACATTCTGTGTTCTACAATCTTTACATCTAATTTTAAATTTATATGTTCTTCTGACCTCTGATGGCTTACTTATTAAATAACTCTTCCTAACAACAATTTACAAAAGCCATGAAGAACAAAACACAACAACATGTTCTTCACACCTAGATTCTCAGAATGGGAGAGAGATTCCCAACAGGGCTGTGAAGTCTTTATTCCTTGTTTTCTGGAATTTTGCTGCACGTACCCTCTGACCCAGGAATTCTGTGGTTAGGAGTTTATGAGAAAATAATTCAGACAAGTGTACAAGAAGTAACAAAAACTTCATCACAGCTTTGTTTAAAATAGCAAGAATTTGAAAAAAATCTAAATATTACTGAAAATTTCATTTTAAAAACTGTGGTATAACTCATATAATGAAATGTACAACCATTATTGGGTAGAAGTGTGAGAAGTGAATTTGGGATGTTGGGGTGTGATGAGAGAGACGACAGAACTCGGAAGTCAATAGGGAAGGCAAAATTTTACTTCTGCAGAAGGGTGTGCCACAGACAAAGAGCCCTGCTAACAAGCACACAGGCAGGAAGCCCACTCAGGTTTTATCTCTAATGAAAGTCTGCCCCTCACCCTGACTGAATGGGTTTCAGGCTCATGTCTTCATGATTGGCTCATTTGCAAAGGGGGCACGTGGGGCAAGGGGCCTTGGGGCAGGGAGAGCAAAGATTTACTGAAACAGTAGTTCAAGCAAGCAGTTTTTGGAACTAGGGCACCTGGTGATAACATGAACCTGCTCAGCCATGAAAAACAGCTGTTGTTTAAAACAGGAATTTACAGCATTAGTGACATCTCACAAGGCACATAGGCAACAATTTGGGGAAGTTAAGCTGACATCTGTACAATGATAATATACTATACATAACCCCTTTGACCTGCCAGGCACCAGTGGCTCACACCTGTAATCCAGATCTCAGGAGGCAGCGATCAGGAGGATCACAGTTTAAAGCCAGCCCAGGTAAATAGTTTGTGAGACCCTACCTCAAAAACCCTTCACAAAAGTAGGGCTGGTGGCGTGGTTCAAGGTGAAAGCCCCGAGTTCAAGCCCCAGTACCACAAAATAAATAAATAAGTAAAATAAAATAAAACCTCTTTGACAGAAAAGACCTGACTTTAGTTGATTCTCACAGAAAGGAGGGAAGGGAGAAAGAAAGAAAAGGAAAGAATTGTTGGGCTGGGGGTGTGACTCAGAGGTAGAGCACCTGCCTGGCGTGCACAAGCCCTGGGTTCCATCCCCAGCACCACAAAAAGATAAAAAAAATCATATAGAGAATTTTCATTGAGAAGTTAAACGAAAATGCATCTGCTAGATAGCATGCAGAGTGTGATCCGTGTCCATTAAACATTCTAGACCCCTCTTCTTAAGAGGATATTTGCCCAGAAAGCATCCTGGACCAACGTACCAGGAATGTGTGGTTATGGTCAGCTTCGTGTTCTACAAACTCTTCTGCATTTTTTGAAACATTTTTGGGTCCTGCATTTTAAAAAATCACACTCAAAGCTGCGCATGGTGGAACAACCCAGCACTCAGGAAGCCAAGGCAGGAGGATCCTGAGTTCCAAAACAAAACAAGACTGTACGCACCATGTTTTGAGGTGAACCTGGAGAAAAGGGGCAGAGCGGTTCTGTTGCACTTCACCTCCATGTTGCTGGGATCACTCCCTCCTTTTGCAGGAACCTGCAGGGCAAGATGTCCAGTCACTTCCTTCCACTGTGGTAGCATTGCTGGATCCAGGCACCTGGGAAAAGGGTTCCAACCCTCCTACAAGACAGGAGTCCTGTTGTGTTCTTCCTGCCTTCAGGCCAGCCACTCTTCTCCACCCACCTGCCAACCCCAGGAAGCTGGGCTTCCTGTGACTACACAGAAGTCGAGGTCCCATAGGCACAGATCAGGGCAGATGGAAGGAGCATCTGTGACTCAGAATGTTCTACAGGGGGCTTAAGTCAAGGGGTGGTGCACATGTGTGCAGGCATATTAAGCCACTGGGTGCTCAGAAGGCCCAGGGCTCCCCTCTGGGTCCATCTTCCCCAAGCTGGGTCCTTCAGGATCTCTGTCCATGCATCTGCCATCCTCTGTCAGTGTCTCAGTCAGTCTCCTCTCTGTCTCCAGGGCATCCCCTGTGGACTGGCCCAGTCTCTGTGACAGGAGGCACCCGACAGTCTCCCATCAACATCCTTCAGAGGGACACTGTTTACGACCCACAGCTGAAGCCACTCAGCATCTCCTATAATGCAGCATCCTGCCAGTACATATGGAACACAGGCTACTTCTTCCAGGTGGAATTTGACGATGCCATCAAGGGGTCAGGTGAGCCTCAGCTAGATTTTGAGGTCTTTTTTCTTTTCTGTTGCACCTGAGAGTGGGGTCATTGACTTAATGGAGACTTCCTGATGCTGTATGGGGACCGGGAACAGGAGGGCTGTGGGAGAAGGTCCTCACCTGGGGAGAAGACCACACCTGTGTTCACTGTCACGCACTTGTGAGGATGAAGCCATGAGCAGAGCAGAGCCCCTTCCCTTCTGAGCTTATATCCAGGGATGGGAGGAAGAAACAAGCCCATAAAAGCTGGTGGACAATGGCAACTGGCCATCTGGGTTGGGCAGGGGGCCACAAGCCAGGATCTGCAGTGGTGGCCACTCTCTGTGGTGTCACTCTATTCTGACAAAGAGTTCCAGCTTCCAAGGTGAAAAGGCTCTGATGGTGAGGTTGGGAAGGGGTTTGCACAGTCACCCCGCAGCCAGCGCCCAGGCTCCCACCTTCTGCCCTCCCTGTCTTCTTCCCACTCACCCCCAATACCTCATTTTTTCTCCCCTGGTGAGCAATTCACTGCGTTAATTATGACTTCAAAGTTGCATGTGGCAGAAGCCCAACTCAAACTAGCTTAGGCAAAGAGGGAAGTTTGTCGGATCAGATCCTGAAAAGGGCAGGGCACCTCTGGTCCCACGTGTCAAACACACTGACAACAACCTGAACGCCCTTCTCATGCCACTGTCCCCAAGTGGATTCACACTAGGCTGGGGACTGTAATGGTGGCAAAGGTGACAGGCCAAGGCTCAGCTCAGCCTCCCAACAGGATGACACAAGAGAGCCCCTTCCAGGCAGTTCAGTGACAGTCCTGGCCGGTGCTCAGCATTCCAGCTCTTGTCACCTGTCTGGGTTGAGCAGATCAAGTGACTCTACCAGGCCTGGCCAGCCTGAGTTGACCCTGCTATGGGGCAAGATGTGGACGATGGTAAAGGAAAGTGACCTCCCGAGGGACAACAGGGGCCAATATTCCCATGAGTGAGAGTGGTCCTGGAGAGCCAAACCTTGTGCTATCCTCTCTGGATGGGGGTCCTTGCTGAGCTGACCTTGGCCCATCCCTGACTCGGTTTTGCAGGCTGCAGTCCTCTGCATCTGACCTCATCCTCGCCCCACTCTTGGCTCCCCACCACCTTCCCCATCTGGATCAAAGGGTCACACCCCACCCTGCCACAGGCTGAAAGGATTATCTGGGTGTCTCTCCCTCCAATGAATTGGATCAGCCTCTGTGGTGTACGTCCACACTTTCCAGTCTGGTTTCACTTTATTCCAAAAGTCCTCTCCTACCCCAGTCACGCCAAAAAAAAGAAAATCCTCTCCTACTCACTGTCATGGGCTTCGCACCCTCCCTCTCCAGACTCACAGCCTTACCTTCCCAGATTCTCCATCCTCTTCACTTGTTTGGGAGAAGAGATGGAAAATGCACCTGGAAAATGGGGAGGACTAAAAAAAGGCTTTCGGCAAGAAAATGAGACTAACGAGACTCTCCCATAAATTAAAAGAGAGAACAAACCTGTATAAAAGGACAGAAATGCCTCATGAGCAAGCAGGAGATGAGCAGAAGGTGCGTACGCAGTGTTGAAGCAATTCCGTGTAAAACACGTTCACGTGGGTCTCAGGACGTCAGCAGGCAAGTGGCTGACCCTCCAAACAGAATATGAGCAGGAGGCCACTGGGGATCTCCACGTGGTCAGGGCTTCCACGGGCTCTCCCAGGAGGTGAGGGGTGCCAGCTTGTAGGTTGTCACTGCCGGGCGGTGAGTAGCAGAGGTGGAGGCCGCGCACGCCTTTGGAGGATTGTGCGCCACCGAAGGCCAAGAGCAGATAGGACTGGCCGAGGGGGCAGAGCAGAGGGCAGTGGAGAGGTGGCCGTCTGAAGAGGGCAGCCAGGCCCACATGGACCTCCCTGTTGAACCTCACGTGTGGACCGGGTCACTGTGAAAACCAGCACGCCAATGGCAGTCCATCTTGCTCCTGAGGGTGAGGAAGGACACCACAGAGGGGCAAGCCCAGCCCCAAGGGCAGAAGGGGCAGCGCGTGTCAGATCCTCTGCCCACCAGCCAGGTAGCGTGAGAAATCAGCCAACCTCTCCTACCCTCAGTCTCCTCCTCTGCCTGCTGACCTCCGTCACTGGCCCTGCAGGGACGATGGGAGGAGTTGAAGATGAAAGGCCAGTGTGGGGCACCTGGCACCACAACGTAGGACAGCTCCACCGACTACAGTTCCTTTAAAATAAAACAACCCAGCAAGGGGCAGGCTGTGTCTTGGAGATGTTTTCCACCAGAGGGAGCTCAGAGAAGCAGGGAGCGGCGCTGGCCAGGACCAAGTCCGGTTTTCTCTGACTGGGGAGGACATGGTGTGCTTGCAAGACCTGATGAACCAGCTGAAGAAGGAAAAATGGGAACTCAGACCTCGTGGCCACACCATGGCTCAGACACAGCAGAAGGCCGCTTCCGAGGACAGCGACAGGCACTGACTGAGGCCACAGGCCTGCTAACACTCCTTCCAGTGTCGGTGTGAACTTTAAGTCATGCCACTGTGCAAATGAGGCCCTCACAGCCTCTGATCCTCCCAGTGACGATTGATAGTCACCCCCTCAAGGGGCTCGATTTCCACGAGTTGAAGTCCCAGAGTGCTATTCACCACGTGGAATCAGCTCGCTGCACATGCGGTAGGAGTTCAATGTGTTTCCTGGAGAAAGAGGAATGCCTGCAGACGTGAGCTCAAAGTTCACAGGCCTCACTGCAATCAATCAGGGAAGCAGATTTCAGTGAGAAAAGCATAAGTGAGGCATCCAGGAAAATTTGGGATCCCACCTGGACAAGTGATCTGGAGACGGGGCAGAATCCACAACAACAGGGGCTCCTCCACCATCTCTCTGGCCCCTGTCCCATCTTGTGACAGATCTAAGCCCAGGGGAGCCTTCCAAGGTCCAGCTAGAGGAGGTGTCTGCAGGGGCTGTCCCCATGTGGGAAGAGGAGGCTCTAGGAACCTGTGAGGCTCTAAGGTGGGGCATGAACTGGTCATCTCAAGATGATACATGGTGGGAAGAAGGACATCCTTGGAAGGGAACCCTGGCACTGCCGGGAACGTGGTCCAAAGACACTCTGATTCTCCAAGTGACAATGGGATGGGATGAAAGAACATGACCTGGACAGTTCTATCCCAGGAGTGGAACAGTTATTTTTCACTACAAAAGCACACATTGGCAATCCTGCAGCTAATATAATCACGTACCACTGAATAAGGGGACATGTACTAAGAAGGGTGTCAGGTGGCTTCATCACTGTGTGAATATCAGAGTATTCTTACACAAACTAAGATGGCCATGGGTCACTAGGTGACATCATCTCATGGGGCCACGTATGGGGTCTCATCATGGCCAAAATGTCATTAAGCAACCTGTGGCCCCATTCACTAGAACATAAGCTCTGTGAGGCAGAGACTTTGACACTACAAAAGACCGCACAGCTCGCAAGGGGATGCATTGCCGGAGGTAACTATGCTTGGATGATTGGAACTTTCCTCTTTGATGTAAGTCGTAACAACACCAGGCTGCAATGGCCTCCATTTTGTCTAACATGGCCTGACCTTCTGGCCACTCAAGCCATGCTGGACCAATCAGAGTCCTTTCCTAAGCACCACCTCCAACTAATACAGGGCTGGGCCAATCAGAGTCACTGCCCTGGGAAGTTGGAGTGAATTTGCTACCGATCAGCTGGCTGGGGTCTGCTCAGAAAATCAAGTAGGCAAAGAGCGGCTCTTCAAGTGTTGGCAGACCTGGGCCCTTGAGCGCCAAAGGCTTATGGGCTGGACTGCAGACTCCAGTCCTGAGAACTGGAGGTTTACGGTTCCAGGCTGGAAGGCTCTAGGTGCCCAGGTTGGAGGCTCTTGCTCTGGACCTGCCACTCAGTAGCTGGCATAACCCTTAGCTCATAGTGACAGCCAGCAGCAACATCAATCAGCGCCCATTCAAGCCTTGGCCCTACTGTGACAGCTGGCATCAGGACCCTCAGCCTTTAGGGCTTGGTGCCCTCTGGAACTCTTCCAGTAACTACAGCCCCACGGTCCCTTGTCCTCAGCTCTTCACAGTCCTTTGTCATCTGTTCCCCCCGACCACTGTCTGCAACCTGCAGCTCTCAGCCAGTACTGCCACGATCACTGCTGTCCCTGTTGCGTGTTCCTCGACTGCGTCAGCTCTGCCCACTCTACTCATGACAGAAACCAAAAGCAAAGGCAAAGAAGCCGGGCACCCGTGGCTCCCGCCTATAATCCTAGCTACTCAGGAGGGAGAGATGAGGACTGAGGTTTGAAACCAGCCTGGGCAAGTAGTTTGAGAGACCCAATCTTGAAAATACCCAACATAAAACGGCTGGTGGAGTGGCTCAAGCAGTAGAGGGCCTGCCTGACAAGTGTGAGACCCTGAGTTCAAACCCCAGCATCACCAAAAATAAATAAATAAAATAGGCAAAGAAAAAAACCATGCAGAAGAAGCCTTTTACTTTGCCTAATGTTGCAACACTGGGGGAGCAGCACAGGAGGGTGTCACCCAGCTGACTTGAAAAGTGAGCCAAACAGCCTGCTCATATAGCCAGAAAGGGGGTATGGCAAGGGTGTTTGCACCAACCATGGCACAGCCATTAATGCAATGACGGACTGTTTGCACCAATCACAGGCCTTCCACTGGGCCACCAGGGGAAGGGCTACCCCTCTGGCCTGGGTAGGAATGGCTGCAGGGTCCCTCAGAGTTCACTGAGCCTTGTCTTGCTTCCAGCCCTGCTTTCCAAGGCCAGTACAGGCTGTCTGGAGTGGTCATGACAGGAGCAAGTGCTCCTCTGCAGCTGCTGGCGTGTCCTCAGAGAGATTGTGAAGTCTCCAAAACAGCTGGGCTGCCACGAGGACAGTCCAGTGGATTGTCAGTAAAGGGGCTGCTTGGCTCTCCCTGCTCGAGGCTGCCAGCTTAGGAAAAGGGCCTGTCAGCTGGCCATGCTTGACAGTTTTAATCAT